CCGCCGGAAAAGATATCATACTATTTCAGATTCTTTCTTTCGCGCAGCAGCTATTYGTACAAGAGTGTGATTTATCACCGCGATAAACAGAGAAGGCATCTTGTTGTCAAAGAAGGTACCTCTCTTTGTGTTCACCATATTATAATCCTAGCACGCTATCTTTCACATATAATCCTGAAAGCAACCAATCCTTTAGGTGCCTTAAAAGACAAATGATTCATAACGAGTAAACACTCTAAGAGCGTACTTTTTTATCTGAAATAGAAGTCAAAGTTTGATCATTTTTTTTCTCTCTCACAAGGGTCTGACATTCTTTACCTGCAATGTAGACGTGTTGTAAAAAGGAACGGAATTATTTTTCTAACAAAGCTCATWCTAGATCTTTGTGAAAGTGATGGACTGGACTGTCCATTGATGAAGGGAGGTGAGTTAATAACCTATCTGTTGAGCTGTTTWGATTATATGGATTCTGTGTTTGTTAACTAGTGCATTCTTGACTTAGGATCCATCAGGTCTTCTTCTTTGAGGTTCCCTGCGCCATCTTGGAAAGTAGCCGTGCCTTTACATCGAAGCGATTGACAACCGTTGAGCGTGCAATGGTAGAAACCTTCTTTCATGCACTACAGACAGCTGTTCACAGGTATCTATTATTGCACGCTCAACGCTTGTAACGCTTCGATGCAAAGGCACGGCTGCCTATGGCGCAGGGAACCGTGAAGGAGACTATTGCCTGCGTTTCATCGCTGATAATAGGAGTAGGTTTAATTGTATCAGATTTTAATGGAAATCGTAGGTTAGTGTTAATAGACTGAATATATCAATTTCAAATGTAGAAACGTACACATTGACATCGGGGCCTAAATATTTTGCCTCAGCGTATTGCCTGCTGCCGAAGGTAAGTAAAGTGCCTCTCCCCGGCTGATCACAGGTCTCACATATCAAAGACCATTGCTGAAATAAGCATTGTTTTTCTCTGGTTATTTGCAGGGACATTATAGTCTCTCAGTGTCATGCGCTGATCAGAACAACCTTGAAGTAGCATGTGCCATGTTGAACTTCACTTGGACGAATTAGCTGGCCTCACGACATATGCGCAAGAAAAGGCTTAACAAATTAGCAATGTTTTTGATCGAATAGTTCAAATACCATTAGTAAACGATTAACTCATTTATTTCCTTAAAGGCCTGAAATTTTACTTTAAATTAAATTTCAAGTGTATCTAAAATATGAATCAAAGAGCTGGTTAAAGTAAAACTGGAGTCTCGACCAATTGCAACTGGGCAGGCGGCTAGCTAACTCAAAAAGCTCTGGTCCTACATCATTTATTTTTGTTTCTATCCCCTCTTGTCTCCTATATTGCACTGACCTTGTGGCATCAAATTGGCTTTAAAACGATGGAAAAGTAGTCAAGCAACGATGCTTCAGTCTGGCATAGGATGGTGCTCATTTCTTCGTGAAATTTTAAGGTAGCACCATTCCAACAATTCGATGTATAGGTTATGCTTGACACTCTTAATTTAGGAGGAGCCGACGGGTTCCTTGGAGAAATAAAGCTGCTCTTATGTCCCAGTCAGCTGTAAGTCACAATTGGTTGCCATCGAGAAATTCAGAAAAAAAGAGCTCCCCAGGCAAGGAATTCTTTCTAAGAATTTTTGCCAGGAAAATAAAAATTTCACAACTAAAAAAAGAATATAAGCCGTAAGAACGTTATATAAGCCTTTTTTGCTATTCTTTTATTTGGAAGTGATTTTTAAAAATTACACAATCAAAGAAGAAATATTACACGATTATGGTAGATACGTTATAGTGCTCGCTGAAGTTCAAAATAGCAATTTTCTCTTAATAAAC